GTGGGCACGTCCACTGGCCCCGCTCTCTCAGCAGCTTCCTCCTGGCTTCTGGGACGTGCTGTGCTGGCTGCGTCTGCGGGTTAGGGTCTGCGACCTTGCTCTGCCCAGTCTGAAGGGCCGGGCGCTCGCTCGCTCGCTCTCAGATTCTGTCCCAACCGGTCTTACGGATGCCCTACCCACCGCAGTAAACTTTGCTACTTTTCTTAAAACTGCTCTCTGTCTCATGCTGAATTCTTTCTTGGGTGAAAACAAGAACCCCACGCTACCAACCTCTGCTAGAACCTCTCTCTCTAACTCTGCCTTGCAATGGCCAAGACTGGGCCAGGCCGGAGCCAGGAGCTTCATCCAGGTCTGCCATGTGGGTGCAGGGCCCAAGCACTTGGGCCATTTTCTGCTGCTTTCCCAGACACATTAGCAGGGAGCTGGATCAGAGTGGAGCAGCCAGGACATGAATCAGCACCCATATGGGATGCCGGCTGTGCAGGTGGCGGCTTTACCGGCTGCACCGCAACACTGGCCCCAGATCCCGTTTCCTGCTACCATGCTCCCTGGGAGGCAGCAGACGACGGCTCACGTACTTGGGCCCGGAGTGAGTTCCAGGGCCTGGGTCGCGGCCTGGCCCAGGTCTGGCTGTGCACAGGCATTGCGGGTGACCCAGCAGATGAAGGGTCTTTTTCTTCATCTCTCCGCCTTTCAAAGAACATGAGAATGATTTTAAAAACATTTTGTTAGTTCATTATACCCCTTTCCCAGCAGCCTCTTAAGACTCCAAGCTTGTCTCAAATCTCTGAGCAGAGACTGGGACTCAGCTGCTGGCTGGTGAGACGCCCCGTGACCCCGCCCTGCGACATCACGGGCACAGCGCTGCACACAAGAGCCAGAAGCCAGCGGGGGCCTCACGGCCTACGCCTGGGGCTATCTAGGCTTCCAGCCCAGGGTGCCTCTGCCACCCCCTCCAACCGCCGGCAGGAAGCCAGACCGTAGGCTCATGCAGAGGCCAGGACGGGGAGCTCAGGACGAGCCAAGACGCCCACAGCCAGGCCTCCCAGGCTGAGACGCGCAGAACCAGGCCTCCCGGGCTGAGATGTGCAGAACCAGGCCTCCCGGGCTGAGACGTGCACAGAACCAGGCCTCCCGGGCTGAGACACACACAGCCAGGCCTCCCGGGCTGAGACGCGCAGAACCAGGCCTCCCGGGCTGAGACGCGCAGAACCAGGCCTCCCGGGCTGAGACGCGCAGAACCAGGCCTCCCGGGCTGAGACGCGCAGAACCAGGCCTCCCGGGCTGAGACGTGCACAGCCAGGCCTCCCGGGCTGAGACGCGCACAGCCAGGCCTCCCGGGGCCGAGACCCGCCCCCAGCCGGCACTCACAGTGAGACTCTCAGCTTCCCCGGCAGCAGGCGGAGACCGAGAGCCACTGTCGGGCCCCGTGTCCCGGGGAGAGCCCAGCGCTGGGCAGAGCCTAACGGTCTCCCTGCAGAGGCCAGTGCCGTGGACAGAGGCTGCACTCGGCCCAGCATCGGGCACAGACCCACCTCCCCGAGACCCCAGGACTGCACAGGGCCTGGTGACTTTGAGCCCCAGGTGTGGTCCCCCGGGGACCTGCCTCTGCCGCCCTCCGACAGTCGTGTGGATGCTGGCATCACAGGGCACTGAGCAGATCCTAGCGGTCCCTGGGCCCAGGTGTGGTCCCCCGGGGACCTGCCTCTGCCGCCCTGACAGCCGTGTGGATGCTGGCATCACAGGGCACTGAGCAGATCCTAGCGGTCCCTGGGCCCAGGTGTGGCCACCCGGGGACCTGCCTCTGCCGCCCTCCGACAGCCGTGTGGATGCTGGCATCACAGGGCACTGAGCAGATCCTAGCGGTCCCTGGGCCCAGGTGTGGCCACCCGGGGACCTGCCTCTGCCGCCCTCCGACAGCCGTGTGGATGCTGGCATCACAGGGCACTGAGCAGATCCTAGCGGTCCCTGGGCCCAGGTGTGGCCCCCCGGGGACCTGCCTCTGCCGCCCTGACAGCCGTGTGGATGCTGGCATCACAGGGCACTGAGCAGATCCTAGCGGTCCCTGGGCCCAGGTGTGGTCCCCCGGGGACCTGCCTCTGCCGCCCTGACAGCCGTGTGGATGCTGGCATCACAGGGCACTGAGCAGATCCTAGCGGTCCCTGGGCCCAGGTGTGGTCCCCCGGGGACCTGCCTCTGCCGCCCTGACAGCCGTGTGGATGCTGGCATCACAGGGCACTGAGCAGATCCTAGCGGTCCCTGGGCCCAGGTGTGGTCCCCCGGGGACCTGCCTCTGCCGCCCTGACAGCCGTGTGGATGCTGGCATCACAGGGCACTGAGCAGATCCTAGCGGTCCCTGGGCCCAGGTGTGGCCACCCGGGCACCTGCCTCTGCCCAGGCCCAGCCGAGCATCTTCCATGCCAGCCGGCATCAGCAGTGGCTGCCGGGAGCTACACAGGGCAGGGAGCCCCGCCCCCACTGCATTGCTCCCAGGCTGCCCTGGTTCGGGGTGTGGACGCGGGATGCGGGCTCTGAGCTGGCACGGGCCCAGGAAGAGGTCATGGGCACAGGACTGCCCGCCTGAGGCACTTCCCAACGCACACTGAGCAGCTGCACACTTGGGACAACTTTGAGTTTGGGGAGCAAGACCTGGGCAGAGGGCCCGAGGCAATCCGCCACTGAGGGTGCCGTCCAGTGCCGAGACAGCAGAGGCGTCGGCGGGCTCAGAGGAAACACAGGCTGCTCAGGGTTTCACAGACAGGGCCAGCCCACCAGAACTCGCGCTGTGGTGCGCAGGGCACGCGGCTTGCCAGCCAGCACTGGGAGTCGGCCAGACTGAAACCCGGTAACACAGCGGAACTGAGTCAGGGAGCAAAGACAGGCTGCTGGAAAGCTGTCGGAGGGAGACAAGAACGGGAGCTCGGAGGCAGCAAGCGCCGGGGAGCCCGGAGCGAGGATTCGGGGGAGCCTGAGAACGCAGAGACGACAAACCCCTGACCCAGAGAGACGGCCGTCGGGGGCAGGAAGGTCAGTGGTCACCAACCGGGGCCCCCGAGACGCAGTGCAGCCACGCGCTCGGAGGCTGGAGGCGACCAGCAGGAGGGAGAAGCAAGAGGCGTATAAAGGGGCCCCCCTGGCCTCCCAGGCTGGGGGAGGGCAGAGGCGTCGACGGCACACAGGGAGACCCCGGCCACAGCGCTTCTTCCCGCGACGCAGCGAGAGCGGGAATCGCAGACAAGCAGGGCCGGGAGGACCTGTCTGCGCCCGGCCCTCTCACGAGGCACACTAACGGCTTCTCAAAGAGACGCTTCGAGAGAGTGCCAGGAGGCACGCACTGCGCACACGGAGTGCGAGTGCTTTACATCTCGACTCAAGACTGGGGAGGCGCAATACTGAAAGGTGAACTTTAACACGGAAGACACGGGCGGAGTGGAGCGGTGGAGAGTGTGCTATTAGGGTTCCTCATCTCCAGTTTTGTTCTCTGTCTCTAGAATCAATGCTAAGTCGTTATCATTTCAAGATAGCTTGCTTTAGCCCACAAACAGGCTTCCAAAAAAAATGACACAAAGAACTCATTCTTTGAAAAGATAAATGGAAGAATCCTTAGCTAATTAACCAAGAAAACAGGAGGCGAGAGCCACACACACCGACTCAGAGATGGGATGGGACTGCGGCACACGCCACACCACGAAGGGCTGCTGGCTCTCGAGCACCCTGGGGACGAGTCTGACCGCTCCTGCAACTACTGGACTGCATAGTTCTCTACTTGAAACAAGACAGGATCGGCGACGCTTGCCCACCAAGGAATTAAATCACAGAGCAACCTCATCTACCCTGCTGCCCGAGGTAAACGTGAAGAATACTACTGGATATGCCATACATATGCATCATTTCTTAATCAAAACAACACTCAGAGTAGCATAAGCAAATCTGTCCAGTCCCTCTGGGCGGCTGCCGTACCTGAGGCTGGGTCGGGGACAAGCAGGGCACACAGCTCACAGTTCGGAGCTGGGCGTCCGGCGAGGGGCCTCTGGCTGGGTCTTCCACAGGGGCCTCTTCAAAGGCACCGACCCCAGCAAGGGGACTCTGTCCTCAGGACCCCTCAGCTCCCAGGCCCCAGCTCCCAACACCGTCTGAATCTGGGGTGCACCTCCAGACCTCAGCGGGTTTTCTATTATCTTGTTTGAGCATCTCAGCCCGACCAGCCACTCACTTTCCTTAAACGTCGGCCTCCTTGCTGACCGCAGACTCATGCAAGAATGAGGGTAACCCAGGGACACAGCCCCCAGAATTTCCTCTGCAGTCTGCGGGAACTGCCGCCTGCACTGCTGGGGGAGGGCTAGAGCGGGGGCTAGTGTGTGCGGCCAGTGAACCGTCCCCAGCCTCCCTCCCACATCCGATCAGGTGGTCCAGGGTCCACAGGGCTGCTCTGCCCTCCTCACACCAGATCCCGGGGGCAGCCCTTCAAACGCCAAGTGCCCACTGCACGACCCCTAGCACCCTGTGCTGCTCCTGCACCCACAGACCAGCAGCTGGGGGCCTCCGCAGGCACAGGGTGGCAACAGCTAACCCCAGAGCTGTGTAGCCCAAAATGTCACCCCACGGCCCCTGGCCAGTCCTCAAAGCCTGTCTACAGCCCCGTCCTACTGAGCGCAGCGGGGGCCGGAGGCTGCTCCAAGAGCTCGGCTTCGAGAAAGTGCCTGTTCCCAGACACTCAACAACTACGAGGGACACACAGAAGACGGGGCAGCCGACAGCGGCGAGGGGTGTGCCTCACCTCCACACGAAGACGACACGCCAGCCCTGCGTGCTCCCGTCATGGGACAAGGAGCGGCAAAGCCGACACCCACTCCCGGAGGAGCACCGTGGAGTCCCGCGTGGCCTGGGCCGGCTCGGCTCCGGCACAGGCAGGAGGTAAGAGGTGGTGGGGTGCGGCCCGCATCGGCACAGCCAGCCGCTGGTTCTCACGGCACACGAATGAACACGAGGTACAGAACAGAAACAAGGAAACGCTTTTTATTCATTTGCAGTTATCAAAGACCTGGCGTTTTCCAAACTCCACTGTGATACAGGTCACCAGAAAATGCGCTTTGGGGGTGACTGCTTCAGTGTCTGGTTTCTAACAAAAGGAGAACAGTAATGACATGGAACGCCGTCACCTCACCCGTCGGCCAGACCATCAGAGTGCGGTGCAGTAACTCTTCCACGCTGACTCCAGGTCGTTCACGATTCAACAGGACGCTTGCAGCTGCTGTGCCCCCCGCCCAGGGAGCAGCAGCAGGGCGCGCAGGACAAGAAAGATGAATTCCACACACTGCTCTCCCCAGTTCCCCCAAATTAAAGGCCATCTCCTGCTATGCTATCCAACCAATCCACTAACATCTAGCACCCATCAAACAAAAATAAATCACGCCGCTGACCCAGATCATAGCAGCCAGGACAGAACAGAGCACTCTCAGAAAGCGACCGTGGACGAGAGGATGTACCCAGCGCTGTCCGCGTACATGCGACAGGTGACACAGCCAGGAGCGTCCGGCTGCCGCGCTCCGTGCTCCTTCCTCTCGACGGCTACAGCTTGGCTTCACTGCCACTGCACAACCAGACCCTGACGCTGGACAGCCTTCACAGCTCGGCGTCACCGCCACTGCACAACCAGACCCTGACTCTGGACAGCCTTCACAGCTCGGCGTCACCGCCACGGCAGAACCAGACGCTGAGGCTGGACAGCCTTCGCCCTCACATTTTTATTCCCCCTACATTTTAGGACCCAACAAACGTCCCTGCAACGTTGAGGCTAACATAAGAGAACAACAGGCATCCTGCAGCCACAAAGTCTGCTCACTGAGACCAAAGAATTACACCTAATTTGCTCCTTTTATTAAAAAAGGTAACTCTTAATAAAAATCCATAATTTAATTGAAATTAAAAAATATGAAAGTGTGACACGGTTACACCTTTCCTTATCTATATGAGGACACTTGCGTCACTCCACCTGCTTTGCCGTCGTGCGGCCTGCATCACAGACGTCAGTGTCTGATCACAGGCGCACGGGCTGCTGGGAAGTCCGTCACACCTCCACTTCTAAAGGCTGGGACGAACTTGTACAGTGAAATCAAGACGGTCAAACTGAACATGGTCTTAGGCCATTACTACTATTCCATTCCAATTTGGATTTAATATAATCAACTGACAGATCTGAAATAAAAGCACCACTTACTGGTTTCAGATGCATTTTGGTATTGAATGTCAAGGCATCTTACAGATAACAGATTCTAACCCATCACTAACGCTGCTGACATGGACCACAGGCGGGACAGCGACTACGAATGCTATTGTTGACAGTTCTCTCTCTTTAAAACAAGCACAACTAAACAGCACACACAAGAGTACTTTAATATAACCTTAATGGTCTAACAAACCTCCCAAATGGAAGGAAATACAGAATGAAGTCGACACAGCAAGTTTACCTTACATCGATATGCTTCCGTGTTAGAGATTCACTCAGTCATTCTGCCAACCACGTGCAGAGCCCCTACTATCAAAACACACTCGGCGGGCGGCTGGTAGGAGCCGCCTCCTGGGGCCGGCTACGCCCGCACTCACACTCAGGGCTGTGTACACCTGCGGCTCACGGCCCCCCCCCCCCCCAAGGTGGTCACAACACTGCGGGGCTGCCCTTCCTGCTCGATTTCCAGAGCCAAATCAGGAGTATGAAACCCTCCACACACGCGCTCACGTAGAAGTATTTTGTTTAGTAAACCGGAAAGTTAACTTCAAAAATATCTGCAGTCTCTGAACGAAGGCACACGGGGCAGACCCTGCAGCGGGCGTCCAGGCCTCAGGTCAGGGGCTTCCTTCCTCGAGGCTACGCCACGTCCTCCAGGTAGTCCGCAACGTCACTCAGCTGGGACACAGTCAGGTCCTGCGTGAGGTCCTCCAGCTTCGTTGTTGAGAGAAAGAAGAGAGTGAAGGTCAGAACTCAAGCGCACGGCTATGATTTAAACATTTCATGCGCTGTTCACTGCTTCCACCTCAGAGAACAGGTGGAAAGACTCAGGTGCTGAGACCCGACCCACAAATCGGGCTACCCTCTGAGCTCCATGCTCTACATTCGTTACATCCTGGGTCCCTGTGGTTCAATCCAAGACTCTGGGAGTAGTGGGAGACTTCATGAACCTCTCCTGGCCGAAGCCCCAGCTGGGACCCTAGCCACAGAAGTCACTCTCTGACTGGCCCCCTCTGAAACTGTGATTCGCCCAGGTAGGAACTACTTCCTCTGCTTTCACGCAGGGCCCTAACAGCCGAGCTCACGACAGTAACGCCAGACCTGAGCAAGCCAAAGCCTCAGGGGGCCAGCTTCTCCGCAGCCACGGTGACAGAGGGGCAGACAGGACGCCTCTGGGGCTCAGACTCCTGGCACGCCTCGGGTACAGGTGCTACACCAATGAGTGATCTCCGCTTCTGTCTCAACTATGCATGAGGAGAACTAGAAAGTTAACCCTTCTTAGGACATACACACATTGATTTCTGTAAGCTTCTCAAAGAACAGGTGTGACAGCCTAACGGGCTAAGGAAGACCTCCACAGCAAGGACAGAAGCGTGGGTCAACACAGAACACCCCCAGCGGGCCCCACTGGTGACCACGGGCACCCATCCGTCTCGATGAGCCACCACCTCGGGCTGCACCAGGCGACACAGCTGCACAACTCGAGCAGGCAGCACCTCCAGCTGCCCTCTGTAGCTGCGAGGCAGCCTCTCAGAAGTCCACCAGCGCCTCGGCTCCCCAGTCACAAGAAACAATACAGCTCCAACTCAGGAGCCATGAGGGGCCGGGGCTGTGGCGGGGCAGGCGTGCCGCTGCCTGAAATGCAGGCATCCCAGATGAGCGCCAGCTCACGTCCCGGCTGCTCCACTTCTGATCCAGCTCCCTGCTGCTGCACCTGGGCCTGCTCCCGTGCTTGGGCCCTGCACCCACAAGGGACAGAGCTCCAGGCTCCTGGCTTTGGCCTGGCTCAGCCCCAGCATTTGCTGCCATCTGCGGAGTGAACCAGCAGACGGAAGGTCTCTTGTCTCCCCCTAATTCTACCTTTCAAATTAAGTACATAAAAACTCCTTAAGTATTAAACAATTTCTCTTTAAAAAAAACTGTATGAAGGCCGGCGCCGTGGCTCACTAGGCTAATCCTCCGCCTTGCGGCACCAGCACACTGGATTCTAGTCCCGATTGAGGCACCAGATTCTGTCCCGGTTGCCCCCCTTCCAGGCCAGCTCTCTGCTGTGGCCCACGAGTGCAGTGAAGGATGGCCCAAGTGCTTGGGCCCTGCACCCCATGGGAGACCAGGAGAAGCACCTGGCTCCTGCCATCGGATCAGCGCAGTGCGCCAGATGCAGCGGCCATTTGGAGGGTGAACCAACGGCAAAGGAAGACCTTTCTCTCTGTTTCTCTCTCTCACTGTCCACTCTGCCTGTCTAAATAAATAAATAAATAAATAAATAAATAAAAGAACCAGCGGACACATTGTGTCCTAGGCTTTAAAAAAAAAAAATGTATGAGATGTATTCTCTCACGTATCTATTCACCTTTCCCCTTCTACCTCCTCATTTTGTTACTCTTTAGAACAGAAAAATGTTAGCTAGGAGTAAAATCTTTTTAAACAGTAAGTATTCCTTCCCTCTTGGTTTTTAGCATAAAAAGACCTGTTAAAAAGACTATTAGCAATCTTAATTAAAATCTGTATACATGCAATCCAAATCCAGTTTATGAAAAAAAACCTGAAAATACCAGAAAAGGCTGCAAGTTGTAGAACAAATTCTCGCGTTACAACTACACTTTCTCCTCTGATCACTATTTTTTTAAGAGACTTTTATTTCAAAGGCAGAGAGAGAGAGAGAGATCTTCCCTATCTGCCAGCTCACTGCCCAAATGGATGCGACCACTGGGGCTGGGCCAGGCCAGAGCCAGGACCCAGGAGCTTCACCTGGGGTCTCCCACATGGGTGCCCAAGCACCTGGGCCACTGTCCACTGCTTTCCCAGGCCACAGCAGGGAGCTGGTCAGAAGTGGAGCAGCCGGGACTTGAACCGGTGTCCATGTCAGGTGTCGGCGCTTCAGAAAACGGCTTAACCCACTGCGCCACAACACCGGCCTTTCTGATCACTATTAAAGAATGAAACCAGTAGGGTATTCCATTGTATTTGCAAAACCATCACATAGTCTATTACTGCCAATTTGTAGCTGTAGGTAAATGTGGATATAGGAAAAACCAGATAAAGATTTAGGACAAAAAAAAAAAAAAAAAAACCAGAAACAAAAAACAAAAACACCAGAATAACCAAAAACTTCCAGAGAAAATGTTTAACTTAAGTGGTCACCGAAAAAGGAAACTGGATGAACACTAACTAGAAGTAAACGCTATCTGATAAAGACATTTTATTATCTGATAAGGTGCTTCCCTAGTTTTAGAATTAGGATGCAAAGCAGTCATCTTGGAAACTATAAAACACACTGTTCACGTCACAAACTGAAACTGCCTCAAAGAGGAACTCGGAACCTCTTGAAGAGACGACCAGGAGCTCCGGGAGAGCAAGCTTGACACAGACCCGCAGCAGAGACCCTTCCCAGAGAGCCCGGGGCTCTGCTGCCCTCCCCTGCCCACCTGCCCACCTGCACTGCGGGCTCTGCCCTCACCTGCCCACCTGCACTGCGGGCTCTGCCCTCACCTGCCCACCTGCACTGCGGGCCCTGCCCTCACCTGCCCACCTGCACTGCGGGCCCTGCCCTGCCCTGCCCTGCCCACCTGCACTGCGGGCTCTGCCCTGCGCTGCCCACCTGCACTGCGGGCCCTGCCCTCACCTGCTCACCTGCACTGCGGGCCCTGCCCTGCCCTGCCCACCTGCACTGCGGGCTCTGCTGCTCCGAGCCTACTCACCTGCTCACCTGTGGGGCTGGACAGTCACGAATGCCGGGTCTCCTGTGTCATATTCTTACCTCTATCCTGGCTAACACTTGAACTTCACATTAACGTTATCAAGACAATGATTCAGGGGCCGGAGCTGTGGCGCAGTGGGCTAGCTGCTACTTAGAAGCCCATTCCCCACTTTGGAGGGTCTCAGCCACCCCGCTTCCCGTCTGGCTTCCTCCTAATGCATCCTGGGAGGCAGCAAATGCTGACTCAAGTGCCTGACACCACACAGGGAGACTCAGATGGAGCTTCAGGCTACTGGCTGAGCCTGGCCCAGCCCTGGATGTCGGAAGCATTTGGCGGGTGAACCAGCAGACAGAAGACACCTTTCTCTCTCTCTCTCCCCACCTCAAAATAAATAAAATAAGCATTAAAAAAATCAGTGCATCCAGCACTGTGGCACAGTAGGTTAGGCCCCTATCTGCAACACCGGCATCCCATATGGGTGCCAGTTCGACTCCTGGCTGCTCCTCTTCCAATCCAGCTGTCTGCTATGGCTTGGGAAAGCAGTGGAAAAAGGCCCAAGCGCTTGGGCCCCTGCACCCACTGGAAGACCCAAAAGAAGCTCCTGGCTTTGGATCAGCCCAGCCCTGGCCGTTGTGGCCATTTGGGGAGTGAACCAGCGGATGGAAGATCTGTCTCTTCCTCTCTCTGCCTGTAACTCTACCTCTCAAAAAAATAAAAGGCAGACCCCAGCAACGCAGGCCACGGGGATGCACTGCAGACTGCTCCTCTCGGGGAGGCCCTCCCCAGGGGACCCACGCTGACCCTGGGCCTCAGCCACTCTCCAGACAGCAGCCACCTTCTGGCCAGAGCCACCCACACCCTGAGGCAATGACCAGAGCTCTGCCGACAGCTCAGGCAGACGGAGACACGGAGCCGGGACTGCCACAGCTCGTCATCCAAGAAACGTCAGATCTGGACCTCAGGTAAGAACTCCTGATTCTATGCCAGAACACGCTCTGCTGTCCTGCTGGCTGCGGTCCTAGCTCAGCCCTGACCTGCCTGTCTCGACGGCACAAGTGGCCCTGAAGTGACCACACTGTCCTCTGCTCTCAGCTTCAGCCCACACTGACCCCATGCACATCAGTGGGTGACTCGGTCTCCAGTCCTGCTCCGTCGTGGCCTCCCTTAAACCGCATCTGTCACTCCGACGCTCCTGGGCACCGCGGTGGGTGACGACCACAGCCAGCCGCACAGAAGGCACGTTCCCTGCACACCTGCACCAGCAGCTGCCATGAACGGGCCACAGCTGCCAACTGTTTTTCTACCATCAGTGTGGACTGTTAAAGCTCTGCAGGAAGTAAATCAACAAGCAGGCAGCAACAGCAGCAGGGCACGCTAAGGTGTGACACCTACTTTATCGCTGGTGTTGATGTCCTCGATTTCCACAGAGAGGTCTTCTTCGATCTCTTCACCGATACTCAACTCGCTTCTTTCTGAGCGATGGCTGGTACTAAGAGAAAAACAAAAATAAAAACTCCGAAAATAAACATCTGAGGAGAACGATCACCATTCTTCAAGCTCTCAGATACTGATTTTCACCGCTTAAATCTCACATGAACTATCAGTGATTTCACGTCAACATCCTCTCACGTGACTCTCAGAACACGCAGCAAGCGGACAGAAACAGACAGAAAACTAAGGTTCATTCTGGTGACCCTGGACAGGATGGCAAGAAACAGATTTCAACATTTCACCAATCAGGGCCAGTGCTGTGCAGCAGCGGGTTAAAGCCCCAGCCTGCAGCGCCGGCACCCCATATGGGCACCAGTCCTGGCTGCTCCACTTCCTATCCAGCTCTCTGCTGTGGCCTGGAAAAGCAGTAGAGGATGGCCCAAGTCCTGGGGCCCTGCACCCATGTGGGGGACCCAGAAGAAGCTCCTGGCTCCTGGCTTCGGATCAGCTCAGCTATGGCCACTGCGGTCACTTGGGGAGTAAACCAGCAGATGGAAGACCTCTCGCTCGCTCTCTGGCTCTACCACTCTATGTAACTCTTTCAAATAAATAAAATCTTTAAAGAAAAATTTCACCAATTATATCACAGTTCCTCTCAAAAAAAGTAAACTGTCCTGCTGAAAAATATAAATTTCCAATCAGAATAAAACTATCAATTAAACAAGTTTCAGGCACTGAATTTAAAGTTTTAATTATATTCACAACATTACTTCTCCATTATTAGCCAACTCACAGATTGTAAATCAAGTGACACACATCCTAAGGAACCCCATCTGCAATGATAGCTGACAATCCCATCTCAGAGAGGGAAGAACAAGGAGAAAGCACTCACAACCCAGCTCCGGGCTGTGGCTGCGGGACCCCAGTCTGCAGGGACCGGTCCTACCACGTCTCCTGAATGCAATACGAACATCCATATTCTAATAGGAAGCAAACACACGCTCCCAGATACAGTATTTTATTCATGTCAAATCAAGATGAACAAAAGACTCAACTGCACTAAAATAAGCCCTGGTATGATTCTGCCGTACTTGCCTGTATTTGCAGTTTACCTATCTATATATTTACACATGTGCCGACTGTTTTCTTACCTATTAAAGTCGTCGACATAGTCGTCATCCTCTCCAGCGCCTGATAAAGGTGAGAAGAGAAGTCACACTTGTGCAGCCACACTTCAGGGTTTACCGACAGCCACACACACTCCCGCGTGGGCGTTGGTTAAGATGCTCCTGTCCCACATCTGATGCCAGGCCCTGGCTCCTCACTCCAGCCTCCCACTAAGGCAGACCCTGGGGGTCAGTGGGGATGGCTCAAGTGGCTGTGCCCCCATCACGCATGCGAGCCCGACAGCTCCCAGTTCCCAGCTTCCGCCCTGGCCCAGCCCCAGCCATCACAGGAACTGAGGGAGTGGACAAGCAGATGTGAGCTGTCTCTGCCTCTCAAATAAGGGTATTCACAAAGGTGCACACACACATACACACACCTACACACACACACACACGACAGAGACACACTTCCTTCCAATTCTCATCGCAGAATGACACCACATCATTTACAAAGAAGCACTGTGGCCAGTGTCGAAGCACAGCGGGTTAACACAGAGGGTTAAGCCACTGTCTACAATGCCAGCATCCCATACGAACACCAGTTTGAGTCCTGGCCGCTCCATCTTTTATTCAGCTCCCTACTACTGTTCCTGGCAAAGCAGCGAAGAAGGCCAAGCGCTTGGGTCCCTGCATCCCTGTGGGAGACGAGGATCCGGCTCTGGGTAGCCCAGTCCCAGTCACTGCAGCCACGTGGGAAGGTCTCTCTCTCTCCCTCTCTCCATAACTCTGTCAAATAAGTAAAAATCAAAACAACAAAAAAAACCCTTAAAAAAGTGCTAAAACCCTAAAATAATTTGCTATATTCTCTGGAGGCAAATGACAAACACAATTCTAAGTGTCTGCACCATCTTTTTTTTTTTTTTTTTTTTTTTAAGATTTATTCATTTCAAAGTCAGAGTTACACAGAGAGGAGAGGCAGAGAGAGAGGAGAGGCAGAGAGAGACACAGAGGTCTTCCATCCGCTGGTTCACTCCCCAATTGGCCAGAATCGCCAGAGCTGTGATGATCCGAAGCCAGGAGCCAGGAGCTTCTTCCAGGTCTCCCACGTGGGTGCAGGGGCCCCAACACTTGGCCCAGCTTTTGCTGCTTTCCCAGTCGCATTAGCAGGGAGCTGGATTGGAAGTGGAGCAGCCGGGACCTGACTGGCACCCGCATGGGATGCCGGCACTGCAGGTGGCAGTTTACTGGCTACAACACATCCCGCCCTACCCCAGGTTCTCAAGAGCAGCTACTCACATAACGTGATCGCCACTCGTGGTTCTCAGGGGTCCAGCATCACCAAGCCCCTGCAGCCGCCTGCTTTCAGCTACTGAGCCTTTCCAACACGGTACACTAAGTATTTACCACCAGGAACAGAGAGGCTTGAAGTACAGCACAGAACACCTGCCTGACAGTGGCAGATGCAAACCCACAGCCCTGCATGAAGGGCGCTGTGGCCGAGGGGGAGTCGGGGGCCCTTTCCTGCTCATGTCCCCAGCTCTAAACCCTGGCGAGATCCACACCAAGCATGGGCTCCCAGGAGGATCCGTGTCTGGAGCGCTTACTCAGACAGGGTCTGCGGCTGGGTTCTGACCAGCAGTGACCACAGGGGGCACCACCAGTTTCTCAGTGTCCTGGAAGGCCCTGACAGACTCGCTGTCCCTCTCCCCCATCCTCGGAGGGCCAGATGCTGACGACCTGGAGGCATGAGAGGCTGTCTACCAGTGCAGATCAGCGCATAGGGAAGACACACAGGAACTCCAGGAGGGCAGACGCAGACGAGGAGACCCTAGCTCGACACCAAGCTGCCCAGAGCATGGGACTGAACTGCTCCACACAGCGTCCTGCTGAGCAGACCCAGGTCCCGGACGGGAGCCAACAAGGTGACTCCTTCATTTAGTCATCAAATACGAGAGTGACCACCAGGGTCCCTGCAGGTACAGCAATGGCCTCTGGGAGCAACAGCCCAACACACAGAAAGAGGCAACAAGGGAGGAGGGACTGGACGCTCCTAGAACAGCTGGATGAACCCTCGCAGGCTGCAGTGCACCAAAACCTCAAGAAGCCGCGAGTGGCACGCAGTGTGGGCGGAGCGTGCTCCAGGGGCACATGCACAGAGCCTGGGAGCAGGGAGGCTGTGGTGAGGAAGCCAGTCCAACCACAGAACAAGGGGCACGACGTCACAGGGGCTGGCAGGGGCCGGAATATTCAAGGCCTGGCAGGCTACGGTCAAGACTTCAGCCAAGGGCAACCCATCTTTTGGGGAGGGAAGATGTTGGGGGCAGAGAGGAGTTGAGAAGAGGGAGCAGCGTCAGAAGTCCTTCTCCCACGGACACTCAACCATGTCCCGAGGAAACATGGAGGGAGAGGCGAGAAGGGAGCAAGTCCCCAGAGGGCTGCTGTGGGCAACCAGGCAGGACAAGGCTGGGACGGGGCGGAGGAGAGAACCGCTGCTACCGCCACGCTCAGACGTGCAGCAGGGATCAGGATCCCTGGAGACAAGAGGGAGTGGGGACGACTCCAGGTCTGCTCTCCACCCTGGAATGGTCACCTCGCAGGCGCAGGGGCTGCAAGTGCTTGACACGAATCGGGCACTGTCAGGCAGGGCACAGAGAGAAGACAGCAGGAGTGCTCTGACGAAACCAACCACGCGGTGGCCAGCTGGTGAGGCCAAGAAACAGCCACGGCAGCTCCTTCGGCTGCACGTAAGTGCAATCAGATGGCAGAGGAGGAGACCGAGCCCAGATGGTGGGACGGCTGTGGCAAGTTTGGATCTGGAGTAAGCTCAAGGGATGCCCGTGGAGGTGGCAGATAACCCCTCGGCGGGGCAGAGAAGACAAGCGACTGCTCTGAGAGCCGGCAGGAGAGGCGCACTGAGAGCGGAGCACACAGCCTCGGCACCAGGCTTGTGCAGAACAAGGAGCGGGCCGCCAGCCGGGAGCACAGTAACAAAGCGCCCAGCACTTACCAGGCCCCAGCGTGCCAGGCAGCGAGCTGTGATTTACGTATGTGGACGTAATGCAAACACTGAGGTGGGGCTGTGAGCTCCCCTAACTGAGCGGAGAACAGCAGCTCGGTTCACCTCCCTGCCCCACCCGTCCATGTCCACGAGAGCCACCGCACGAGTGTTCACTTGGATCTCAACTCCAGACCCCAGCTCTTCGCACTAGCGGGGAGCTTCTCCAGAGGGAGGGGCAGTTTCTAGACGGCTGACGTAAAGGCCAAGAGCGCAGAGCAGACGCAGCCTTCTTCCTGTGGAGGCTGAGGGCTCGCAGAGCAGAGCCCTGACGTCCCTGCACGTCCCCCGGGGCAGCAACAGGTCAGGGCTGGGGTAGGCTCTGTCACGCCTGCCGGGGGCTGCACAGAACAGAAAGCAGGAGGACGGTCTGCACACGCAGCCCAGGGTTCAGCAGTGTCACACGGGGACTCGTACTTCACACGGATGATTCCCCACGGCGGGCTCAGCGACTTCTGCCTCCTAGAACAGAAGTGCACACAGCACCTCAGGGCTTTTCTAAGACTCAGTTCCCTGGGTCTGGGCTGGGCCTGGACTGGCAATCCCCTGCTCCCAATACCTAGAGAACAGCTCTGCTATGCAGACTTCTTCCAATCGGAACCAAAATCTCCCTGCTTCGTCTTGAGGCTGGTCCTCCTCAACACCAGGCTCAGCACAGAAGTTATTCTCCCAGAAGGCTTTCCCGGAAGCCCGGGGTAGGTGAAGGCAACCCAGCACCCTCTCCAAACCAGTAAGACTCAAAATACCTGTAGGTCCCTGCGTGACACCTGTCTTCCCTTCTAGAATTTAAACTACGCGAGACAGGTCTGTCTCAGCTGCTGCTACAGCCCCTCTGCAGCAGCCTACAGCCCCGGTCCCCAGCACCACGTGGCTCAGTGCAGGCTGGGTCACTCACTCTGTCCCAACAACAATCACGTGCAAGCAGCCAGCAGTGAAACTGAAGTCTGGTTACCTAATCCCAGGGACCCCATTTTATCGTTGACTAGCTTCAGATCCTTCAGCACCGCGCTTCCTCTCTTGCCTGTAAACAAACAAAAAATGACCAGGATTAAAGTGACTTTCAGAACGCAGCCTCCCCCACACACCCGTCCTCCCTTCAGCAGGAGGCTCCTTCATCAGAGCAGGAAACCCAGAGTCAGGGAAAACCCGCAGACGGGTTAAGGACGCTCACAGGACGCACGCCCTCCCTTCTGATCACACACCACGCAGACGTCGCGCTCACCAGCAGCTCGGAAGTCTGCCCTGTGCCTGGGGTTATCTTTATCAGTGCTGTTTTTCCTGGGGACTTCTGGACTTTGCTTCCACTCATCCAGCACTTCATCTACCAAGCTGACCTCTCGTCACTTTCACCTCTTAGTCCTCAGTTCTCAACACCCTGTCCACGTCACGTGCAGTCAGAGTGACATCATCGTGCCAGCCTGGCCTCTTTCCTGAAGGCGGCAACAGCCACAGACAAGAGCATGGCGACGGCGCCATGAGCCACATTCTGGCACACTCTGGCTACCAGACGCTGACGAGAAGCCGGAGACCACTTCTCGTGTGCTGCAAGCCCCACGGTGACAAAAGCTTAGGAAGGACTGCACAATCAGGCAAAACACTGCAAATACTAGTCAATCTATTTCAGGAAAGTCCTGCAAGAGACGCACATGTATGCTCTAAACACTGCCAATCACATCCTGTCTGGTGTGACACAGCACACAAGGTCGGTCTGCAGATCTACATTCTTTAAAGATTTATTTATTTATTTGAAAGAAGAGTTAGAGAGAGAGAAAGAAAGCGAGAGAGGTCTTCCATCCATTGGTTCACTGCCCAGATGGCTGCAATGGCCAGAGCTGCGCCAATGTGAAGCCAGAGCCAGGAGCTTCCTCCAAGTCTCCAACACAGGTGCAGGGGCCCAAGGACTTGGCCATCTTCCACTGCTTTCCCAGGCCACAGCAGGACTGGAAGTGGAGCAGCCAGGACTCAAACTGGTGCCCATATGGGATGCTGGCACTGCAGGCGGTAGCTTTACCCACAATGCCACAGCACCAGCCCCTACATGTTTGTTTTCAACTCAGCACTGTCACCACACTTAGGAGGGAGGGGAAGGGACGTGGTGAAGGAGTCTGGCTGTTCCATGTCTACCTCCTCATCTCTACTTCTGTAAACCTAAGAGACATGTGAGATCCCAGTCCCTGAGGGCAGACGACTGCTTCATTCAACCTTCCTATAAAGATTACTGCGGCATCACAGAACAAATTTCTATAAATAACTGAACCAGGGGGCAGCACTGTGGCATAGTAGGATAAGCCTCCATCCCCTATGGACGCTGGTTCAAGTCCTGGCTGCTCCACTTCCAATCCAGCTCTCTGCTGTGGCCTGGGAAAGCAGTAGAAGATGGCCCAAGTCCTCAGGCCCCTGCACCCACAAGGGAGACCTGGAAGAAGCTCCAGGCTTCTGGCTTTGGACTGGCCCAGCTCCGACCATCGCAGCCCTTTGGGGAGTGAACCAGCAGACGGGAGACCTGTCTCTCTCCCTCTCTCTTTCCGTAACTCTCAAATAAATCAAATCTTTACAAAATGAATCAAGAAATAACTGAACTTAAATTCAGCTCAATTAATTCTAAATGTGCGAGAAATGACTTAAAAATTATTATATCTATTCCTTGACTTGAACTCATCTCAGGGTGAAAATCGGAAGCCAGAAGTGCACTGAACAGGCCTATGCTGCTAACACCCTCACTTAACAGCGCAGCACACGGCAGAGCCGCGGCCTTCCCTCTGCTCACAGACTGACTGGGAGTCCCCGCCTGAAGTCTCCTGATGGGACAAGGAAAGGCAAAACGATACAGAGAATGCAACCACTTCTGAAAAAACAAAAACACACGAGATTTTAACAGGAAACATCGAAATGATAAAGTTATGGGCTATATTACGATTTTCCTAGGAAAAGAATCCTCAGTCATCGTATCCCACTTCACTGTAGAGAAACGCACCTGACACAGATACTCACTCTCAGAGTCTTTCAAGGAGGGGGCTCCCTCCAGTGAGCTGAGTCCACTCCGCACGGGGGGCGCGTCTGAGAGGGGGGCCAGGCTGCCCACTGGCCTCCTAGCTTCACTTCTCCTGACAAGAGGCACGCGACAGTTACACGGCAGTCTCAGCGCCTGCCACCGAGGGAAGGCACAGCCCTCAGCCCAGAGCCCTGCAGCTGACACCGCTCGCAGACCCACAGAGCCAGCCAGGAGGAGCAGCTCGGCTCTCGGCGGCTCCTTCCCTCTCCCCAGCCACACGGACTGCTCCAGCCCGCCCTCCCGGAGACATCTCAGGAGCCCTGTCCCACCCTCAGGAAGGCAGCCATGAACAGAGGAGCCCACTGGCAAGCCTCCAACAGCCAAGCTGGGGACGTGCCCTTCAGCGGACAGCGCCAACCATGAGGGCTACCGATACTGCACAGCAACCCAGCCCCCACAGCCCCTTCCACACCTCCTCTAACCCCTCACATCTCCAGTCCTCCTCCTCTGGCCTCACGCAGCTGTGAACCCAAGGAGCGGGTGCACACGTCTCGCCCTGCTGACAGGGGCCACTCCGCTCGTCGTGAGGACAGTGAAGCCACTGCCTCAGACCCTGCAGCCCGCCCGGGGAGCCTGACTGACGCACTGGCTACTCTGGTCCCAACTCCGCTTCCTGCTAACGAGCAAAGACCCTGCGAAGCAGCAGGTGACGGCTCAGTGCTTGGAGACCCAGACACAGTTCCAGACTCCCAGCTTCAGCCTGCCCAGCCCTGGCTTTTCAAGATATTTTGGGAGTGAACCAGTAGACAGAAGATCTCTCTCCATCTATCTCTTTCTGCCTTCCCAATTAAAAAAACAAATTACGACAAGACATTAAGGGCTAGCATTGTAGTGTAATGGGTTAAGCCACAGCCTGCAGAGCTAACATTCCATTTGGGCACCAATTTGAGTCCTGGCTGCTCGACTTCCAATCCAGCTCCCTGCTAACGCACT